GTTTAAATTTTTCTCATCAAACTGTTTAATACCCCCATCAAATGTGTCGAATGGAATATACACGAGATTATAAAGCACAGCAACAGATAAAACCGTCGAAAACATATAAATTAAATAGTGCTTAAAGTCAATCTTCATGTTTCTGTTAATTTAATATTTAAAACAGAATTTTAGTTAATTTATTGTTTAGAATTACACTCTGTCCAAACGGGATTATGGAACACCTTTACATAATATATATTTTTTTATTTAATTTTTGTCTTAAATAAATCAAATTTATAGCAACCCTAACAATTTTTTATAACCAAAAAATTAATTTAAGGTGTTCTATAATCACCTTTTGTTGTGTATGGACGACAGCCCTTAAAGAGTTTAGTTAAAAGCTAGCCAATAGTTAGTTCGAGAGTCTCAGTCTTATCCTTCTTCCTCGCCCAATCTTTAGCTCCTTTGTATTTTCTTCGTGTGATAAACGTTCTGTTAGCTTCCTCTACGCAAGCGGGGTCGTAGTAGATATTTGGCGCGGTCAACCAAAGAACCTGGGCGGGATCGTAACACCTTTGACAAATTTTGAATAGAAAAATATATATTATGTAAAAATTTCAAAAAATTTCGACGCTTTTTCAATAAGATATAATAAAAAAGTAGGGTTAAGGTGTTCCATAATCTCGTTTAGAATAAAGTGTAAATCTTTATTTGGATTTATCAATTATTGTTTTACCTGTTCAAAATTAAATATCTAAAAACAAATTGGGCACACATTCCATACAAATTTAAGATGTAAAAAGATTGTGAGGCAATTACACAGCCAACGTAAAAAATTTCGTTGAAACTATTTTTCATAAAAGCAAAGAAAATCCCGTTTGTAAAAATTAATATTATATTTCCGTTGATGTTATTTGCATAAAACTAAATGTTTAAAATTAAAAAATGGGGGTGTTTTCGATTTTCGAAAATTTATAACTCCCCAATTTGGATGCGGTTTCTTTCATTGTATTCAGAATCTAGAGGAGAATCATATATAAAATTTACAGACTTCAAAAAAATTTCCCCGGAAAGTTTAAAAAGCCAAATCGGATGACGATGAACGGAGTTACATAGATTTTACCCTTTTCTTAACTAAATTACCGCCACTGTAAATATTATAGGTAAGTTGTATGAAGTGTCAAAATAGGCGACCAAAATAGAAAAATAGGTACCAAAAAGGGCAATTAAGTGGGCATAAAAGGCAAAAATACCGACTAATTTCTTAAAAAAATTCCCAAAAATCGAAAAGAATTTTAGTTCGTACTTACATTCATTCAAATTTTATTTTATTTTCGGAAATTATAGTTCTGATTTTTGAAAATTTTTTCTGGAAAATTATAATTTTTTCTTAATATATAATTTTTTAATTTAATCCTTTTTAAACTAGAGTTGATCAAGACGAGACCGATACCGAGATTCTCGGCTTTTTTCCAATATCGGTCTCGGCTCAAAATGATGGTATCGGTCTCGGTCTCGGGTTCTTGCGTATCGGTTAATCTCAGTCTCGGTTTGGCCGATACCAGTATCGTATTGATCAACTCTAAACACTATTACCATTTGCACAAACATTTGAAAAGTCAAAAATAAAATATCCAAAACACAATTTTGTATCAGAATTCTGCTGTGTGTTTTCATTTCTTTTGGTGTTTTATAAATAATTAAAACAATCAGAAGAATGTTTAGAGGATAACCAATTAATAAACTTGCCCAATAATCAAATTTAATATAATTATCAATTAAATTAGACATTTTTCTTTAAATTTACATTGGTAATAGTTAAGTTTGTGTTTCCCCTTTTTTTCGGCTGTAGTGTACCGAGGTAAAAGTTCGAGACGTGACATATGTCATTCGATTAGTCTCGACGAGCTGAGTCGAACGGTACCACTTCCAATTTCAGGAAATGATTCTGGACCGAGTTATTATTTGCAAATTCGAATTTTTCACCCCAAAATCGAGCTTACTCCCCTTTGGTTTTTCAATTTTTCGGGACCTATAACTCTGTCCAGAATCATTTCCTGAAATTGGGAGTGGTATCGTCGACTCAGCTCGTTGAGACGAATCGAATGACATATGTCATGTCTCGAACTTTTACCTCGGTACACTACAGCCGAAAAAAGGGGAAACACAAACTTAACTATTTATTACCTTTACATTTTAAAAATATAAACTAAGATAAAATTTTTTTTATTGAAAAGTTTCACATTAATATAGTAAAATAATTTTCATAGTAAAGAATAAAATAATTTTTTGTATTTTTAAAAATTACCAGTGTGAAAGTTTTTAATAAAAAAATTTTATTTATTTATTAAAAAGTTTCACACTAATAATTTTTGAAAATGTAAATAAAAAAATTTTTTTCGAGAAAAATATTTTTCATGTTAAATTAAAACCGTGAGAGATTTTAATTAAAAATTGCTTTGAAGAACTAGCTTAATGTTATGAATAATTTTGTTTTAATGATATCACGACTTTTGCGCCGAGCGACTTATGCGCCGCGACATTTGCGACGCTATTATTTTGAAAAATAAAATAATAACTACAATTGGACTTGTACTCCTTGAGTTTAAAATATGGTAGTTTAAAATATGGTATCCAGGGTAATCCTGCAGAATCTGGGAGACACCTTAAAAACACCTTAAAAATTATTATTTTTTTTCTGAAAATAATTTTATATAGGTAATCGACCATGCTGAGTCCGAATCTGAGCTTAGAATTTGTTTATTTCGAACCCCGGACTCGATTTCGACCAAGTCGAAATTCGGGGTAAAAATTCGATATCAAAAATTTAGGGCTAATCTGATACGCGTTTTCGAGCTGAGTTGAATGCCACCGAAATTACCGCGATCCGACTCCATAGGGCCGAGTTACAGACCCCCGAAATTTGAAAATTTTTGGGGTCAAAAAATCAAAAATCCAAAAAAATAGCTCATTCGAGAGAACTCGACGAGCTGAGTTGAATGACACCAAAATCAGCTCGATTGGATGATTATGAACAAAGTTATGACCGCGGAATCTTCGGTGGGAAACCTGTGGGAATATACTAAAGCACCCCTAAATCAAGTATATGATAAAAAATCATAGATAAAATGTCACAATTGACAAAATCTGATATCAGATTCGTGATCAGCATGGTCGATTACCCATATAAAATTATTTTCAGAGAAAAATAATAATTTTTAAGGTGTTTTTAAGGTGTCTCCCAGATTCTGCAGGATTACCGTATCCAGGAACTGAAGGAAGTTAAGGAAGTACAGTAGGGGTCCGGTAGCTGATGAATTAGGTCTGTGTCATAAAAGTAGGGAGCACTATAGTGTAGGGTTGTCGGATTCGGATATCCGAAGATTTCCAACTATCTTACACCCCTAATATAGTGAGGTCTGGCTGTAGTTATTCATATATTTTTAATGATGGTGTCGGCGCAAAAGTCGCCCAGCGCAAAAGTCGCGATGCAAAAGTCGCGACGCAAATGTTCACGGCGCAAAAGTCACGGCGCAAAAGTCACGGAACTGAAGCACAACCGACTGTGCCGCATCCAACCCAAGGATATGTTATTTATTCTCATTTATATTCTTTCTGCAAAAGCGAACACAACAACAATATTTTTGAGATTTTGAAATTTTGAAGTTAAAATTTAATGTTTAATTTCTTTCTCTAGTATTCTCCTAAATCCTTTATTCTTTTTTTTATTTGAATTTTATTGCTACCTCTTCATCCCCTCCATCCTCCCCACCCCTCCCTTCCATCCCCTCCCCCATCCCCTCACCCTCCTCTTCCTCCCATCCCCATCACCTCACCCCTCCTCTCCCTTCCATCCCCATCCCCTCACCCCTCCTCTTCCTCCCATCCCCATCCCCTCACCCCTCCTCTCCCTTCCACCCCCCCCCATCCCCTCACCCTCCTCTCCCTTCCATCCCCCCCCATCCCCTCACCCCTCCTCTCCCCTCACCATCCTCCCCACCATATCCCGCTTTTCTTCATACCTCCCCCCCATCCCTTACCCTCCTCTCCTCTCCCCTCTCTCCTCTTGCTCCCCCTCAATAAAATTCTTTATAGTATTTTATTGCCGCCCTTTAAAAAATTATTTTAAATTGTCAAAAAGCAGTGCCACATTTATAAAATCAATCACTCACATGCATGCCCTCTCTAATTAATTAAATTTAATTAATGTTTATTAGTTGTTAATAATTTATTTAATTAAATTTATAGGAAAATTTATATTTTAATTTAAAAGTTAGAGAATATTAAAATTAAAAAATAAAAGTTTTCTTTACTTTTTGCCCCTTTTCTAATTTAATTATTTCCCAAAATTCCAAAAAAATTTTCTTTCGGCGCCAGAAAGGAAGGGAATTTTTGTTTGGAAATGCTTAGTAAGGCAAAACCAGTTAAAATTATACAAAATAAAATATTTTTAAAAGAATTTAATCTACTGTAAATGTGCTAATAGAATCCCATCATTAGAGATCGGTCTGGATCCAGTCTGGATTTTTCCTGGATGCAGAGATCAGATCCAGGCATTTCTTGACCGCCCTGGATTTGTTCTGGATACAAATCAAAAATCCTGTCCAGGCTACTAACCTAAAGCCACATCCAGAATCTAGATCCAGGATTTTTGAAAATACATATCTCTAGAGCCTATTAGAGATATGTTACATATTACATATACCTATTATACCTATTACCTATTACATATTACCTATTACATATCTCTAGCCCTATTAGTAGCCGATTCATTGAGATCCTTTGAAAAATAAACGTCCAGGGCTTCTATTAGGAGATTTACCGTCACCATTTCCAAATTTCAGTTCTAAATTTTTATAGAAAAAAAACTTCAAATTTTTGATCAAAAATTCAAATCTTATTTATTTGTTTTCGATAAAAAATAGCTGAACTAAAAATATTTTTTAAAATATTTACCTATTTTAAATTTAATTTTTCCAATGAATAAATAAAAAAAAACTAAATTTTATTCACAACAAATGTTTCTATTACCTCTTTTTGTTTTAAATATTTTTTGTTTGGTTGTTTCAGCAAATTGTAAGTTTATGTTAAGTAAAATTTCTTTGAAAATTTTAAAATTATTGTTGTTTTGTTTAAGAATCTCATCCCAGAAAATGAGATTGGTCCCCTTACTTATCTGAGAGCTTTCCGAAGGAAACTTGACCGGCAATACTGAATGTTTAAATTTTCGAGTGGAAAGCCAAAAAAATCAAAGAAAAAATGCAGGAGTTGAGGAAAAGGATCAAATAAAATTCCACGCGGGATCCCGTCTCTAAATTAAAAACTATTCATAATCGATAACATAAAAACACACCTGATTAGGGCTGGGGCCCGGTTTCGGGGTTTTTTCGGGCCGAACCGGGCCCCAGCCCTAATCAGGCGTGTTTTTTATGTTATCGAGTATAAATTGTTTTTAATTTAAAGAATACCTAATGGTTTAGGATTTGGCTAGCAGAGGAGCCGATCGGGCCTTTTCGCCAAAGACTGGCCCGATAACCGGGCTTCAATCCTAGTAACGACGTAAAATTGGCCAAAAAAGTGTCCAAAAATAATGTCAAATCGTCAAATAAAAAAGCGGTTTGATTGATATATGTAGTATATTCAGATGAGAAATACAAATATTTGGAAGACGATTATGTTAAATTATTCTTTGAGGAATTGGATGAGAATGAATGGAACAATCTTTATTGGAAGATTAGTGAAAATCTTCTTAATGAAAATACTGAAGAAAATTTTAAAATAAAAAATATTTTGTCGAATAATGTAGAGGAAAATGTAAAGAAATTTTTGTTTGATTATGAGGTAATGAATGAATTCAATAAAAATGTTTAAGAAAAATGATTAAATTATTATATTTAATTAAACACAACATAATTATTTAGAATGATGAGAGAATAAATTCAACAATTATTGATACATATAAGCTTAACTTAAAGCTAACGATCCCAACGTTTTTAGGGATAATTTAAATTAGAAATTAATTTGCAGTTAGCTTTGTCAAGTAAAAAAATTTTAAAATTTTTTATACTGATAGTCAGTCTAGTTGGTCATAGATAGTCAGTCTAGTTGGTCATAGATAGTCAGTCTAGTTGGTCATAGATAGTCAGTCTAGTTGGTCATAGATAGTCAGTCTAGTTGGTCATAGATAGTCAGTCATAGTCAGTCCAGTCTACTGATAGTCAGTCAAGTCAGACTTCGTCTGTTTTAGCTTCAATCTGGGACATTTCGGGAGAGTGCCAACATACTACCACCCAAACTATCGCGGGCCCAACATGCCGCCGCCCAATTTACCGACATTTGTTTCAACAACAGAAGACTAACAAAGCGAAAGGCTGTTCCAACATAAGAGGAAGTTGTTCCAACATCGGAAAGGTTGTTCGGATAGTGAAAGTAAAGGATGTTGTTTAGTAATGGGGGAAGTTGTTCCAGCCAGGGTCTGGGTGGGAATGAATAAGCTGCCGAAATAATTGTCGGAAATAGGAAATGTTATCAAAATTATTTTTACATTTCCACTAACTATTATACCTCAAATTTTATAATACATATAGAATAAAATTGAAATTATTCAAAATGAATTAAAAATATTAAATGAAGAGAATGATGAAATAAACAAAGTCGAACGAAAAATAATGGCAAATAAGCATTTGAATGCAATAAAGTCCCTAATAGTTGATGGAAATAATGAGGTACTTAAAGGCTCAAAAAATTTTTTTCTAATTGAACTAATTTTTAAATAAATTTAAGAAATCCAAATTAGCCAGTAATTTCGTTGGAATAAATGATAAAAATGATCCAAATAATTATAAAATATATTTGACAAAAGCAAAAATGCGCAAAATACTGGGAGATTTAATGTTTGACGAGTTGGAATTGGATCATCCAGTTTTGCTAAAAATTGGTTAGCTAATAAATATATTTTAATTGGGATCCTTCCTGTACAAAATGAGGTTACCCCTAATATGGAAAATAAATAACAAACTTTGTTAAACTTCCCGAAATAGACTCGAAAACGAGAGTTATTGGGGGTCTTTAATATCTACATACTCCTTGTACTTACTCAAATAAGTGCCTGATAATTATTGTTTCAATCACTGGCTGGTGACGGAATTAATAAAGGGTGGGTCTTTATTTGGTGTTATTGTGCTAATTATAATATTTTCAAGTGGTTAATTATTTTCCAAACTTAGGCTGTAGGGGGAGGGGGGGGGTGGGGGAAGGGGAGCAGGCCAAGGTACCGCAAGCCCAAGATACCGCAGAGCTATAACTTCGTTCAGCAATTTAGAATCTGGGACGCCTTGGTATGGTTCGATGCGCCTCGACGAGCTGAATCGAACCATACCAGGGCGTCGTGAATTCGACAATTCTGAACGAAGATATAGCTCTGCGGTACCTTGGGCTTGCGGTACCTTGGGGTTTACTCGTGCGAAAAAGTAGGGAGGGTATGTAGTAGGGTTGTTCACGATCGGTTTTAAAACCGGAATTTTTGAAATTTTTTGCCTAAAATTAACCGCTTTTAAAAAATTTTTAAAACCGAAAACCGGAAATTAATGAAAATGAGTGATTTTATTAAAAATTCTCCCAAATTCCCCCAAAATCAAACCGGTATTTGTCTAAAACTCAAAACCGAAAACCGGGTTTTTAAAATTTAAATTAACCGAAAACCGGGGGTACCGGTTAATAACCGTTAGTGAACAACCCTAGTATGTATATAGGGTAATTATATTTAATTAACGGAAGGAGGGTAATTATTTGAGTAAATTCAGTATTCTTTAAATATTCAGATAAAATTTCTATGGGAGATTATTTAAATTTATATGTAAGTATTCTCTCAAAAAAAATTGGCTTTGATAGAAATCTTGCAGAAGAATTACACCTTTATATAATATTTATTTATAAAGAAATTTATATAAATATGGGGGAACTTTACGAAAAAGAAGGGAAAAATGAAGAAGAATTAAAATCTGACATTAACAAAATTTTTAGAGAAGCAATATCTGAACAAGATGAAGGAGAGTATTTAAAAATATTAAAACGATTAATTATTTGTCTAAATAATATTTTATATAGAAAAGACAATGATAAATATAAAAACTTAAAAATTTCAACACTTGACGAAATACGAAGCTTTTTTAGCAAACATCACGCAAAGTAGTTTTTAAGAATTTTATAATTGTGAAAAGTTGGAATAAGAAGTAGAGGGGAGGGGATCCGGGACTATATGGATATCCCTCCAAGTCTTGGTATCATAACTAGAGACCGCAGATATACCAGGTCGTATATATGTATTTGCACCAAAAAATGCAAAAATATGCAGCAAAATATCCAAAATTTCCTAAAATATGCTATGTATACTAAAAGGATGGCAGTGGCGGGAAATAATGGGATCAAACTTAACGCGAGCCCAACTTAAAGCAGAGCTATAACTTCGTTCAGGATTGTCCTTGGTATGGTTATGGTTCGATGCGCCTTGACGAGCTAAATCTAACCATACCAGGTCGTCCTGGATTCGACAATTCTGAACGAAGTTGTAGCTCTGCGATAAGTTGGGCTGCAGTAAGTTAGGGTGTACCCAAAACAGGAATTGGAACTCGGAATCGGAAACAGGAATCGAAAATAATAATTTTTGTATATTTATTTAATTAATATAAAAATATTCAAAAAATTCAGTACAATCAAAGAAATGGGATTCACAAATCCAGAAGATTATAAAAAATTATTTTTATTTTTACGTCAAACTTGTGGAGCTAAATCTCGTTTACGAGAACTCTTATTTGGAATTGAAATAAATCTAAAAAATCATTTATTTCCATTTGAAGAGCCTCCAAACTATGAAGCAGATTATATTTTAGTATTATCCTTAGTCTATGTTGGTAAGTAGCAGGGATGGGAATTAGGGGGAATTTTAAATACCGTAAATGCTCTAATAGAACCACACTCCCTATTTGAAGCACACTCCCTAATATAAGCACACCCTACAAGGGGATCGAAAAATAGAAGCACATGTGGTTCTATTAGAGCATTTATGGTATAAATGCTTTCTACAATTTTTTGTACTCGAAGCGATCGTGTCCCCAGATACATATCCCCAGATATGTATACACTTTAATCCCTTAAAATCCCCTTTAATCCCTCCAAATCCTACTTAATTTTTGAATAAAGTAACAAAAATCGAAAGAGAGTGTATTATCTTTGCAAATTTATTCTTCAAAAACCACTTTCACTTGACCATCGTCATTTAACTGATTTTAGGTAACCAAAGGTAACCTTATACTACGGGTTGATTTTAAACGCCAGTTAATGGTCCAGATTTACCTAATTATTAATAAAATTTTAAGAAAAATCTCAACAATTATTTTTTTAATAAATAAAAATATTCAGATTTAAATCAAGATGAAATAAAGGAAAGACTATATTCTCTCTACATTGAGGGGTTAAAAGCAACATATGAAAATAATGATTTTAACTTGATGTTATTTTATGGGGTATCCCTACTTGCTCAATTACATTCGGTTGATCAAAAAATAGAAGAAAAATATATGAATGATTTTAACTTAGGGTGGATAAATACTAAAAGAGCTATTTTGGGGATATATGATATTTTAAGGGAGATTAATTCAGAAAGTTGTATTATTTATGGAAATTCAAAACTGAATGAATTATATACTTTAAAATTAGGGCTTGAAAAGGAGGAAAATTTTGAAATTTCTGAGAGTTCTAAAAGTGAAAAGAAAATTACAAATGTAAGTCGTTATCAGTGCTGGGTATTTGCCATATGTTGGTCCGGCTCCGGGCTTCCAAAATCTTGGCTTCAGGCTCCGGGTGGAAAATCAATGAATTATTTTTCATTGGGAGGTGTGGGTAGATAAAGGAGGGATATCACCCAAATCCCCGCAATTTGGGTGATATCTTCGGCTCCGCCGGAGCCGGGCTCTGAAGCTAGCTCCCGGAGCCATATATGAAATTAACTTAGGGTGGTCGTTATTAGGTGTGGTCGTTATTAGATAAACTGTTCGTTATTAGATAAATGATTGGATATCACCGAAAATCTTGCTAAACGAGGGTTTCTTAACGAAATCTCTTTTGAAATAATTTTAAAGCTATAATAAAATTTTTAATATTTAGAATAATGAATTGATAGAAATAAAAAAACAAATCGAGCAGATTCGATTGGTAAACCAGGATATTTTCAATGAACATTTAGATGAAGATCAGAATTTTAGGAATAAATTTGAAGGTAATTAATTTAGTTTTGTTGGCGATAGGTAACCGAACTGGAACAAAAAAAACGGTGATTTGGCCAAATAACAGGGGCCAAAAACAAAAGTTTAAAACCAACATAATCGAAAATTTGTGAGCAAAAGAAAATGTAAAACCAAGTAACCAAACTCTCAGATAGAGCGGTAATAGTTTTGAAGTCGCCACCCTTTTTCCCGTTTCCCTGACCATTTTGAGCTTTTTTTGTTTGATATATAATTTATTATATATCATTCAAAAGAGCTCTTCGAGAATAAAATAAAAAATCACACAACTTTGTTCACTTAAGTCAGTTTTTGTTGATTTTAATGCCCTTCGACTAAGCTTGAAGGGCATAAAATGAGAAAAAACTATGAAAAAATAGAAAGAAAAAAACGGGGGGGGGGGGGGGGACTTCCAAACTAGTGTTCGGCACGGTTCGGTACTACCGCGGTACTACCGAAAGTACCGAATCGGTACTTTTCGGTACTACCGGTACCGGTACGGTACGGCTAAGATTTTGGAATTTTCGGTACTTTTCGGTTTCGGTACTTTTCGGTACTACCGGTACCGGTACGGAACCGAAGAGGTTTTCAGTACCGCGGTAGTACCGATTTTTCGGTACTGGGAAATTTGAAGAAAAAAATGAAAAATATTATCACTTGGACTTCAAAAATTCTCAAAATTTTCGCCGGCTGCGCACAAAAGTAAAGAAATCTGGCTTTTAAGCCTATCAAACAGCGAAAATTTTTGCCTGCGGCGCTAGAACAAAAAGAAATCTGGCTTCTTAACCTTCCTACATTTCAGTTTTTGGAATTTCTGAGTCCTTCTCTTCATATTCCTGATATCCCCGATTAAGCTTAAGAATATCAAGGGATTCCTACTCACAATCCTCTGAAATCCCGCATACATATATCCCACGAAATTAAAAGATCTTAAGAGGATATTTGCGGATTAGCGAGGATTAAAAAGGATACCAGAGGATTTGAGAGGTTTAAAAGTAGTAGTATAGAGGGATTAGAAAGATCTAGGGATATTAGGATTACAGGTGGATTTGATAGTATTAATATTTTGGTAGGGATATAAGAGGATTTGGAGGGATATCGAAAGAATAATATATTTATCGGTGGATTTGGAGTCATATAATGTGATTTAGAGAGATAAAGAAGTTAGAGGCTATACATCTCATAAAGCAATCTTAATTCGCTCAAATCCAGCGAAATCCCCCCGATATCCCTCTTAATCCCTTAGAATCCCTTGATATCCCCACTAACAACGATCCTTTAGGCACATCGAACTGTTACACATCAATTAACACATTTATAAGTCCAGATTTTGATATTATATCATTTTATTCTGAGTACCGAAATACCGCGGTAGTACCGAAAATTTTTCATCGGTACTTTTCGGTTTCGGTACTTTTCGGTACTACCGGTACCGGTACGGTACCGATAAGATTTTGGAATTTTCGGTACTAATTCGGTATCGGTACTTTTCGGTACTACCGGTACCGGTACCGAAAAAATCCATTTGCCGAACACTATTCCAAACTATTACGGATAAAGTAGCACGCGAAGATTTCTAGCATTCCCCCACATCTATTGGAGGGACTGGACTATCTAATCCTTAATTATCTGTCTGGATTCAATATAGGTAAATTTTATTAATTCGGGTGTAGCTTATAATAATTTTTAAAATTATTATTATGGAGTTTTTATGTATAAACCAATAAATATTTAATTTTTAAAAGAAATCCAAAATGATAAAGAAGTTGGCAAAATAATGTATGATTTGGTTATCCCATCCAAAAATAAAAATCAAGTAATTTTGTAAATACATAATTAATTCATAATTTTCTTTTATTAAAGAAACAAAATTTCATTAAATGCCCAACAGAAGGAATTAAACATGATAAACCACCACAAGGTAAAATTTCTAGAAAAATTCTAAAAATTTCCTTTCATTGGCTTTTACACACATAACTGTCATTAGGAGTGCATAAAAATTTCACTTTTCGCCTAGACTTTTTTTTGACAAAAACTACAGACTCGTTACTTTCCGATCTGTCCAAAAACTGATAAAATGGAATTCTTGAAATTGGGAGTCTTGAATACAAGTTTCCTCAAAAAGGGGAACTCCTCAAAAAGTTGCCCAAAAGTTCCCCGGTAAAAAACAAGAATTTCTCTGAGATTCCGGAACCGGTTCCTGTGATTCCAACGCTCAAAAGTTCCCCCGTCCTGGTTACTGACTTGTTTTTCCTTATTTCTTATTAATATTTTTCTACTTAAACAGAAATAAAAATAATTGAAGAATTTTTAACAAAAGAAAAAGTTAAAGAAATTGATATAAAAAAGGTTGAAATAAACTCTTTAATTTGGCACTATGATTATAATACTCGAGGCGTTATAAATAATCTTAGTATAAGCGATAAAAAATCTGCTTTACTTAAAAAGTTAGAGTTATTGAATATTAAAAATGAAAAAGAAAAGCTTTGCCAGTTCTACTTTTTTGTAGAATCTGTTTTAAAAAATATTTGGGAAATTAAAAGTAATGCTGATTTTATGAATGAATTTCCGACGGTAAAAATTTTATTTTGACTATAAGTCTCTTAAAAATATACCGTAAATGTTCTAATAGAAGCCCGGCTCCAATAGAAGGCCATGCTCTATTAAAAGCCTGCTCAATTAGGGTGAGGGGTATTGAGGATTAAACGCCCATGCCCCATTAGAAACCCACCCAATGGGACCCATTGAAAAATAGACGCCCAGGGCTAATATGGGAACATTTACGTTATGCCTCCCAAAAAATAATCTCTCTAATACACCCTCTCTAATACAGCCACATCCTGAAGAGTAGTTGAAAAGTCTTTAGGAAATACAGTAATTATTAATACACTAAATATTATTATTAGTATTAATACAGCAGGGATCTAGCCGACCCGATTCCCGAAAATCGGGAATTGAATTTTGGTGTCGGCTAGATCCCTGATATTCAGTATACAAAATAAAGAGTTTTAAGACTTAATAAAGAGTTAAGAGTTCAAAATAAAGAGTTAATTATTTTAGAGAATTTTTGGACTGTCGTTTAAACGGAGTCTTAAAAAAACCAAATGGCATATGGGTATATCCTTTAATAACTACCTTGGGTAATTATTGTTTCGACCTTCTGCTGGAGGGAGTAATTAATCGAGGGAGGGTAATTATACGAAATTTGAAATTTGAACGTGATTTAGGGGATTTATTTGAGGGTAATTATTGTTTCAATCTATCGTTGGATGGGGTAATTAATAATGGAAGTGGGGTAATTATTTGAGGGAGGGCAATTAATAGAGGTTATACGGTAGTTAAATATTTAATTTTTTATTTTAAATTTTATCTAGATTACTGAAATTAAAAACGAACCGGGCAAAACAGGCTTCGAAAATGCTTATGCAAAAATTATTTCAAAATATAATATTAAACAAATTGTTTATAATTATCTCGATTATTTAATTAAAAAATATGTTTATATTCAAAATTTATTTTGTTCAATGGAAATTAAAAAGGACTATAAATCTCGCTCATACGAAATAAAAGAAAAAGATAAATTAATTCTTTTGATTGGTGTTGAATATTTAATTGAGTTGGAATTGAAACACCCCAAAATTCTAAAAATAGGTAAGTATTCGTTTGTAAAATCTGTTTATTTTGGCATGATAAAGTTGGTCCCATGGTTATTGAGATTACCAAGAAGTTGTGGATATATCCGCGTGTATAAACTAGGGTTGTTCTCGATCGGTTAATCAAGTCGGACCAATAATGAACAACCTTAGTATAAAATGAGATATGTAGTCCTTAAATCAAGGAATCCAAAAAATTTCAATTTTTAGGGGTAAGTTTAGAAAAGTAAGAAGGTTGTGACCAAGACTTAACCCCTGGACAAAATCAAGACATGGAAAAGTCGTGGTTTTGGGTCTGGTTTTCGAAAATTCCTCGGATCGGATCGAAAAAAGTTTTAGTTATCCAGACCAGACTTGCTATAAATACTCCCCAAAAGTGTATTCCCCAATACAGAATCACTTATTACCCAATACGTGATTCTAATACACCACAAAAACCAAAACAACGTACTCGGATACAAGACCAACCACTTTACTTTATAAAACCAATGTGATAATATATTCAATTTGTAGAGCTACTTCAAAGAGATGTTGGAATATATTATTATAAATCCTATTTGGAGTCACCCGAATTTCCTCGTAATACCGAATCAGAAACTAAATTACTAACAATATTTTTGTTAAATGAAATTTATGATAAGTTTAAAATAATTATAAAAAATTTTGAAGAGAATAATAATTATTTGTTTGAAATATTTAACGATAAATTAGAAGATGTAAAAAATCAAATATTTTCTAATTTGGAGGAAATTAATTCAGAAGCATATTTATTATGCTACATGTCTGAATTTCTAAAAATACTTCAGATATCTTTTGATGTAAGTTTTTTTGAGACCGCAGCGTTTCTACAATAATTCAAAACCCGTCATAATTCTAAACATATTACATGTCCACTTAAATACATATTTAATAGAGAGCGAGCTGGATCCAGACCTTGATTTTTCCTGTATCCAGAGTCCAGATCAAGGCATTTATCAAAGTTCCTTGATTTTTCCTTGACTCAAGGTCAATAAACTGGTCAAGGTACCCAACAGAAATCAAGCTCAAGGATCAAGGTCAAGGATAAAGGCCATGGTTTTTTGAAAATCTCGCTCTCTAATATTTAAGAACTCTACTTGAATATTGTTATATTAATTAACTACATCTTATTTTTGATAATAGGGATAGTTCGAAAAAATAAAGTAAGAAATACAAAATGAAAAATAGTTCTAATACACGATCAATCATTTTAACAGATAAAATTTTATCTATTTAAACTATTTCCTACCAATAGTCTATTGTTGAAACAGGGTAGTCGATTAGATATCGGTTCGGTTACCGAAACTAGGTTAGTTCGATTAAAACCGACAACCTTTAAATAAAACAAGAGTAAGGCAGATAGATTTTTAATTCCTAAAGCTATGCAGTAGGTGGAATGGTGTGCTGGATAATACATCAGTCCGATCAGATGTAGGCTGACTCAGCCGCCGAATAACTTTCTGCATTAGCTGAAGGGGAAATAACTATGGCTCAGCTCAGCTTCATTTTTAATTTACAGCTTGGTGTTAGAAATGAAAATCATGGAGCTTTAGTTCTTACTATATGGACAGGTTCATTTTGTGAAAGACCATCGACACAAAAGCTTTATACGGAAAAGAAAGAAAATAAAGAATTACGTTTCACACAAGAACATATAGACCAATTATATTTTTATAAAGAAGAACTTTCAAAAACTTTTAAAGAACCTGGAACGTTATCTAGAATGAATTATCTTAAAAGTCATAGTTCTTTGAAGGAATATTTGGATATTGATAGTTAGTAAACATTTTTTATATAAATTTTAAAAATAAATTGGGGTAAAAATTTTTGCTTTAAGTGAGGGCTGGTTATCAGTTAGCTTTAAAACATTAGGAGAGGATAAAATACAGAATAAATTTATATATAGGTGGGTCTTCTGTAAATTCTTGAAAGTGAGTGTGTTAAGTTAGTTAATTAATCTAAAGTTCGATCCCCTCATGAATTTTCGATTCCTCTATTTTTGCGAATCTTTGGGTTTAGTGCGTGATAATTAGATAAAAAACCAAAAAATATTTTTTTGATAGAATTGAATCAAAACCTAGTATTTTTACAAATAAATGCCCAACAAAGATTCCGAAATCCTGAGGTATGTACAACAAATTATTGCCACACAAAGCGCTTAATTTGTTTATAGAAATATACTTAAGATATATAAATTAGTATAATATACCTTTAAATATATATATTAGAATAACAAAAATAAAATTGAAATAATTTTTAGTTTCATCCTCTAATCAAAGAGAACGTCTGCGCAAACATTTTATTGAAGCATTGTTTAATGAGAATGAAATTATTATTGCGAGAAACAGAAATGGTGTACAATTAATTTCTGTTATTCGATGGATTGAAAATAATGTAAATAATTAATTATTTTTATATTTTTACATTTTTGGGGATTTTCTGAAATATTAAAGTTTTAGCTTATGTTGTAAAGCCGAGATCATCCTAAAAACACGTGAAGAGCATTATCGCTCTAGGTAGCGGAAGTTCCCATAGAGAAGGCAAAGAAAGCCACAAACACCCATTCCCAAAAAGTTATTAGCCGCCCATTATCTACACTAAGCTTGAAAAAGCGATTGGAAAGTATGCTGTGCATATAACTTCATTTGTTTTCACTTCATTTGTTCTTATGAGAGCAGTTGCCGACCGGCTTATCCATCGTGCTAAAGGATACGTCTCCCTATATTCCCCCGACGTTTCCCTATATTCCCCCCACTGCGTGCGATTCACCTATTTCTATATCTGTTGAGTTCACACATGATTGCAACATGGGAACAATAACCAATGCACTGTGGATTGGAAAGAACCGCTTTACTATGTTTATTATAATTAAAGTTTAAATCCAGACAGGGATCAGTGTTTCCTTTCTTGTAATCTAAGTTGTCCTACTATATGGCTTTAAATTTACCTATTATCTCTCAATATTTTGTATATATGAATAATATTTTACAGATTATGTCTCGATTGCCTACACAAAACAAAAACAAAGAAATTTCGAACATTCTCGAAAACTTTCGCAATAAAGCTGTTTGGTATTTCAGTTTTTATTATGATAAAATTTTTATTATGGAATTTGAACAAATAATTGCACAACAAAAAGAAATACTTGAAAAATTGTTTTGTCTTTACAAAGAGTTTGGAAAAATTAAAAATATAAAAGATGTTCAGTTAATTAAAAATAAAATAAAAAAATATAATGGGGAAGAGATTGAGGAAGGAATTTTAATTAATGAAAATGAAATAAACAGTTTAATTGAATGGCGTCAATCTATTGTTGCGAAAGAATTGTTTGCTGAAATTAATATTAAAAATAAACAACAAAATGTTGTTTTCAAAAATAAATTAATTGAAGGTATTTTTTAAATTTTTGTTAAAAATAGACTTAGGCGGGCATTATACAAAAATTCTGTAAATTGAAGAACGAAGCAGGATTTTTGACATTATCGTGTCAATTCCCATACCTGGATCCCTCCCTTGCTTAATAGGGATCCAGGATTAATTAATGAATCCAGGAGTTCCACTCCTTGGATCCAGGAGTCCCACTCCTATGTTATGTTAAGGCAACATTTATTTTTACAGTAAAGGATTAATATACTAGTAAATCAGAACTGGACCTGACTGATATGTTATCTATTATTACAGCATACCGCCTCCTACCTAGCCTTAAGAATTAAATTTAAAAATTTTTTTACATTTAAAGGCCTCAAAAATTCTCTTCTATCTCGCCGACGTCTCTATTCATTAATTGGCCCAATTAATACCTCTAAATTGTTCGAGTTATTGAAGATAACATTCAAAGCTTCAGAATATGAAAAGTTGGATACACTAGAATTTAATGAAGAAAGTAGTTCTGAAAGTAATTCTTCTGAAGAAGCTGGGGAAATAAATAAAATTAAATTGGATATTACTGGTGAAATTTAATAAAATTATATTAATATTCCTTAATGTTGAGCTCCGACACCGAATCATTACGGAACGATTTTTTCTGGATTACCTGAAAAATAAAAAAGCCAATGTTTAGGGAAATTTTCGTCTCCTAAACTTTATCGTTTGTGAAATTTCGTCATAAGACACATTACGGATTAGTTAGTTATACACTGCTCCACATATATAACCTCACCCTAAATTTACGAATTTCTTAACTTCTACCAATTCAATCGGACTGAATTTTATTAATTAAAGCAGATAACAAAAACACGAAAAATCGTAAAAAAAATTATTCAAAAATTTTTATCAAATTTTTTCAAAAAACATCCTCCACATAACTATAACCTAGTTTACAGAAATCATAATAGGAATGCTTGAAAAATTTTGCAAAATAATTTTTTCTTTGAAATTTTGGTGAAAACAAATTAAGGATTAGCTATATTTAATTTGGATGAATAACCCAATGTATTAGGAGGGATATTTTAATTTCCAATATTTTTTAAAATATTTAAATTTTTAAAAAGAAACACCATCAGAACACCCATTAGAAGAGAATCCATCATCATCTGGAACTAAAACAAAATTGTCAAAGAAGAAACGAAATCAGATTAAAAAGACTTTGGCATTAGAGGATTTGAATAAAGGTGTTGATAAAGATAACAAGAATGAGAGAGAAATTAAAGAAGAGATTGTGGAGGGAGGCGGTGGTTTACTAGAAGAAAATGGTTAGAGTAGTTAAATTAAATTTATTTGAATTTAAAAATATCATAAGAGAGGTGTCGGTTATTTAAAACTCTTAAGATATCCAAGACCGAACTGAAGATTCCTCAGTCCTTCGGTTCGATCTAAACCGACAATTCAAGTCATAAGTCTCATAAATTTAACTAAAACACTTGTTGTAGTTAGAGAAGTATATCAGAATAAGAGCATTTGCATGATTTGGAAACTTATAAGACTTACATTGCAGTGTAGGTCTCTCTAAGACTTACAGTATAAGACTTAGAGTTAATTGCTAAACTGCAAGGTTTTTAAGCAGATTTCGGTTTTACTTAAAATTTGATCTTGCCTGTAATTATATACATATTTATTTTTATTTTATTCTGTAACTTTGTAATTTACTCGATAATATTAAAATTATAGAAGAATCATCAAATATAATAGTTACAAAAACTGATAAATTAGAAGAATCATCCACTGATCACTTGCCACAAAATCAACCGGCTGAAGAAACCCCACCTGAATCATCGAGTGAAACAACAATGACTGAAGAATCAACGGCAGGAGATACAACAAAAAAAGCTGTAAAAATTGAACTGAAAAAATTGTTAGTTTTATTACTCATTAAAGGAGTATAGGTATATATACCGTATATGCTCGAATAATTACCCTCTCTCAAATAATTACCCTCTTTAATAATTACCTCCTCATTTTTTAGACAAATCTTAAATATATTGAAAAAATCTTTATCAATTTTTATTATTGAAACAGTTTATTAATCTATATCAAAAAATAAATCGATTCCCCCTCGATTTAATGAGATATACCCCAAATTTGGCATCTCCTCTCGAATAATTAACCCTTCAGCGAGAGGTCGAAACAATAATTACCCAGGGTAATTAATCGAGCATATACGATCGACCTCTAGAGGGGGCTTATTTTAGGGGGGGGGGCTTATTTTGGAGGAGGGGGGCCTATTTTAGAGGATTTACAGTATATCATTTTTAGAACAAAATCGGAGCGAAAAGCAAGAAGGAATATGAAAAAATCTAAAGATAAAAGTAATAAAGCTAAACAAAATTTAAATGAACAGGAACATTTAAATATTGAAGAAGAGGATTATTCAATTAAAAAAGAAGATGAGATTTCTGAAGATAATAAAGAGGTAGAATAAACACAAGAGTTAAACTATTTAGAAGTTAACAAACTAAAGTTAACTTAAAGTTCACTTAACCTACAACTTCTAACCTGTACCTCCAGTTTTGGGCGGTTTCGAAACGGTATTTAGTTTCGGTTCTTGGCCAACAGATTTTGTTCTTAAAAATCTTATTCTCTTCAATTCAAGGATTGATTCCACATCCACCTAATCATTTTTCGATAAATTTTCGAATAATAAAAATTTAATTTAATATTATTTAAAGCTTATACAAATATTAACTGAAAAAGGTTATTGGAATAATTTAACAAAAATAAATAGTATTGACAAGACTATTAGTTTAGAAGATGCAAACAAAGAAGTAAAGAAAATGGTTAAAGATTGGGGAGGCAAAATTTTTGATCCAATAACAAAACAATTTTTAAAAGTATGTTTGTTGGGAATTTACAATAAGTCTGTTAGAGCTCTTATTATTTCAAACGCCTCATCGAGGCAACAACCGTTTAGGTCTCTTAGTAAGCGACATGGGGAGGGAAAATGTAATGGGTTTTATTGGATCTGCTCCAGAATGTCCAGAATATTTTCTAGGATAATCACTCACTTACATTAAATAATTACACAAACTGAGTGCCAGCCAAATTAGATCGGCTTTAACCTTTTGATGCTTAATCCAATTCAAATAAATCTTATATCGTTCGAAAGCCCTCGACAAGAGGAATTTTTCCAACTTAATGGATCAATTCTGATCACTCAGTTATAACTAGAGCCAGGATTTTTAGGCAAATGCCTGTTTTTTTCCTAGATAGGCCTGATGCTGAAACGTTCAAATCCGGTGTTATTTTACTGATATCTTCTTTCTAACTAATTTTATCGTTGCCTAAAATTGCCTTTTTTAACTTTTTTTGGGAAAATGCCCTATTTTGCCTTTTTTCGGCCTATTTTGCATATTTTTACTAAAATTTGAGAATTTTAAGGCATTTTTTGAGAAAATTTTGACAAAAAAATTTTTTTTGGTAAAATATAAAATTTTTCCAAAAAATTTTTGGCAAAAAATTTTTGCGAGAAAAATTTTCTTCTGAAAAATTTATCTAATTATTTTTGGAAACAAAATAATTAAATATAAATTAATTTATCTTTAATTCTGATCGTCAAAATTAATTTATTCAACAGTTTATTGCTTAGATTTATCTTTTTTGATAAAATTTAATTAATTTAAATTAGCAAAATCTCTAAAAAATCGTCCTATTTTGCTTTTATTTCGGATTTTGGTGCCTATTTTGGCAGTTTTTAAGTGCCTATATAGGCGCCTATTTTTAACTTTATCGTGCCTAAAAATCCTGGCTCTAGTTATAACCCAATAAATGTGAAAATTTGGCTGGCACTCAGTTTGTGGGCCGGTAAATACCACATTAATTTCTGGCACGAAAATTGAACACCGGTAGTGTTAATTTAAGTTTGATACAAAATATATTTTCCGCTTTTTGTGAAAATATTATGTGCAAAGAATCTGTAAACGTTTCAAACTGGGTTCAGTTCTTGATTTGAATATTTTAAATTTTTAAATTTGTTAAAGCTCACTATAATAAAATATTTTCTAGGAAAATCAAGCATTTACATTAATTTCTGGCTCCTATCTATTGGAAATAAACTCAAAAGAATCTGACACCGATTTTATTGTTATTTTGTATTTTAATTATGAAGGCCCTGTAGAGAATTGTGCAACTAGCTTACTTTGGTTAAATTTTATGGGTATTCAATCCGAATGTAATTTTGAACAAAGAAAGGAATGTAGCAAAAATAAACTAGACTCGTTTTATTGTACTCTATGCAGGGTAAATTTTTTAAAATACCGAAGTCAAAATAACGAGTCGAAAATCGCCTTTGGAAGATTAGGGACGTTAAAATGACAGAATTCTGCCCGAAAGATCGCCTATAACAGGGTTCCACTCAAAAGTATCAAAATCTCGATTTAAAAGTAGATAGGGACTAAATTTCCAAATTTAAAGTATACTCCAAATTAAATTAGAAAATATTTATTCGTTCTCAAATCTTTTATATTTCTCTCCTAAATGAATCTTTTCTAATAATTTCTTGCTTCCACTTAGCATTTTGTCATTTCAATGCACCTTTTGTGGCGCCCACAAAATCTTTTATTTTTTCGCTGCAGGCGAAAATTTTGAGAATTTTGGAGGTCCTTAACTCATATTTCTTCGTTTTTTCTTTTAAAAAAGTACGAATGAGAACCCTGGCCTATAATCCAAAAACAATTCATTTCCCGCTCTCTATTCAGATAGAGTGAAATTGAGAATAAAGGGTATTATAGGGGGATTCAATATTAGTACCAATGAAATTTTACCAAGCTAAAAATTATTCGACTTATTTATAAATTAAAAGAATGAAGCTACATCATGGCTAAGAAGAACTAGAACTGGTGTAGCTGAAATAAACGCAAAAATTTATGGATATTCTTTTGATTTGGCTTTTGTTGCCTATCCTTTAGAAAGCAATTCTGTACAAGTTTTGGAAAGTGAAGAAAGTTTAAAATCTGTGGAAGAAGTTGATAAATTTATTTTTAATTTTGTTCAAAGATATGACAGCTATTTGAGCTCTAATATATTAGGGATGCTTAATTCTTTGTCTGGTAATGAATTTTTGTGAATTTAATGAATTTAATGATTTAATTTAATGAATTTTTGCTTCAGTCGGCCTGGGCTGTGAGTCACTCTTTTATCCAGTTGAAGAACATTCCAACTGAGCTTTATATTATTGTTTACGGTCAGCTATATGCTAGATCAAGCGTTATACCGAAACCATTAACCCTACTCAGCTCTTAACACCTCTGGGATTCTAATATCTTCAGTAGAAGAATAGCTTCAGCTCAGTCGGCCAGGCCGACTTTAAAATTAATTTTTAAAAATCATTCATTTAGAATTCGCTTTATTGGAAATTTAAATTCTATTTAAAAATTTCTAATAAAGCATAAAGAGCCCGGATTTTTATGCAATATAAATGGAAAAATGGCACCATAATTTGCAGAAAAGATGCCTAAATTTTGGAATTTTGATTAAAACTTTTCCTATTTTCAAAGTTTCTCCATTTTTAGAATCAAAATATAACTGAATTTTAGTGCTGTTCGATTTTTCCCCAGAAAATTTCAAAGCATGCATTATGCATTATTGCGTGAAATATAAAAAAATATGGATTAAAGCTCATGACTCTATTTACATCTCTATTGGCCAAGATTTAAGTTTTAAGCTCCCGGACATTCTTTCAGCTCATGGATCTCTCATTCATTTAAAATTCGCTTTATTGGAACCAAAATAAATATTCGCATAAAAATCCGAACTCCAATAACAGGTTATCGAGCTAGTCTGCAAATTAATCATCTCATTGCTGGAAGTAAGGAAAAATTTCAAATTTTATTGTTTACATTAAAGCTGTGGGCTAAAAGTAAGTTTATTAATCAATTACAACATGGGGTAATTCACTAAGTTGTCCGGGAGAGTGATCAACCGGAAGAGTGATCAGCCGGGGTTGAATAGGAGAGCTCTCAAGATTAGTCCCATCCAATTCAGCCATTTTACTATAATTATGATAAAGCAAAAGCTTATTAGTGTAAGGATGATTTACAACGCTTAGGCGGATTTAAACGATCTAAAAAGAAAGCTAAAAAGAGAAAGCAATAGTTAATGCCCGGTAGCTCAATGGTAGAGCGACTGCATATAGTGAGCGAGAGCTCCTAGCAACAACTAGCACGTGGTCACAGGTCCTGCCCGGTGGCTAAACTATTGCAAACTCTTTCTTTAGCTTATGATAAAGCAATACCTTATTGGGGAGGGGTGGGTGGTTGTTAAATTTATTTTCTTTAATTTGTCAAATATTTATTCAGATCATTATATTTATAATGGCAAGCTTGGATTCTTCAGTGGCATTTCATTAACAGTTCTAGTAACTCATCTATTAACTGAGAATCAATCTAAAACTTCAACAATTTACCAATTATTAACAAAATTTTTTGATTTCTATTCTCAAAATTATCAAAAAATCAGGGTAATCGGACAAGAAAATGCTGAAGAACTGGAACCGATTATTCTCGAAGAAAATACAAAAAATTACGATATTAATTTAGATTGGAATATTAAGAAAGAAATTAGCGATCGAGCGAATCTTTATTTGAATCCTGGGTTATCTCTGAGTAATCAAAAATTAGAAAAAATGAGAAAACACGCAAAATTAGTTTGGCCAATAATAACGCCCGGTTTTCCTAAACAGAATGCTGGATTTAACGTTAATCTTTCTACGAGGACTATTATTTGGAAGGAAATGGAAAATGGTTTGCCCATTTATAGATTTAGTGTGATTATGTCTCACTCACCTAGTGTGTTTAAGTGGTAACCGGGGTGAGGAGGACGTAATGTGTGTTGAGTAGAGATAGACCGAGACGAAACCTCGAAAAAATTGCGATAGATATTTTTAGTGATTAGGGACACCGAGCTCAATTCTCGTTTGTCTGATCAGGTCTATATTTGACCTGCCTTGAGATAATGGTTTTAAATAGAAATACTATAATAATTTAGCTAAACAATCTTTGCTGAACATGAGAGGAGCAGTGAGTAAGGCAAATCAAAGAAAGTCAAAAAATAAAGTTGAATTAGATACATATTTAAAAAGGCAATGGGAAGAGTTGCTAAATATTACGCATGATTTTTCGAATATAAATAAACATGATTTTTCGAAAAAAGTAAGTTATTAAATTGACTTGTTGTTATAATCTGAGGCATATTGCTATTTAATTCTAATGATGTGGAATTAAAGAATTCATTCCAGTTAACAGAAGATGCTGGCAGGGGGTGGGTATTTGGCATTTGTTGGCTCCGGCTCCGGGCATTTCAAATTCTTGGCTCCGCCGGAGCCTGCTTCTGAGCAGCCGGCTCCCCTCTCTACTACATATAATATAAACATTATTATAGTATTCCAACTATCTCGCTCTTATCTGCACCTACTCCTCTTCAAATCCATATGGAGAGGGTTTTTGTGATTTTTCAACTACAAGAATCCGTCTCCAATTACTTTTTACAATAGAAACAGAAACTGGAGCTATCTGTCATGCAAATTTACAAAAACCCATTAAAGAAATGCAAGAATGCCCTCAAGAATTTAAGAAAAAAGGATGGTTGTGTATAATTTGGTTGGTGGGAATTGATTATGAAAAATCAAATGAGGAAAGCGGAGTAAGGACTTTAACCTCATTTTAAAGAGCATATAAGGATCTACAATTTTTGTTTCGAAACTTTTTTCCTAAAAGTTAATCGAGATGAGAAGCCTTTGGCTCTATCCTTTGGCTCTATCCTTATTAACAACCTTTGGCTCTATCCTTTTTTCCGTCACTGTATATCATAATCTATTATGTATAACATTATCTATTCCAAATCCAAAAATAACATAGTAAGAGCGAAATAAAAGTTAAATCCTGAGCAGGCTTCGATCCTGCGACCTCCTAGCAGTTGTTGCTAGGAGCTTTCGCTCACCACATACAGGTGCTCTACCAACTGAGGTATTTACCAGTTCACCTTCTCTTTTAATAGATCTTAAACCTCCGCCTAGTAAGCGTTTTAAATGCTGCCAGCTGGATCTTTCTCTTCTTTATAACATTAAATTTTAAATTAATATTGGGATGAGATATTTTAAGTTCTGCAGATAAATATTTGTTTTCTCCCAGGATAATATGGAAAAATGTTTGTAGGAATATATTGAATATTTTTCCCGCTTAGGAGATTTTGCTTTACTTTATCCATTTTTAATTATTACAGATAAAAGATCTTGACAAAATAAATAATGCTGAGGGTAAAAATATTCTTGTCGAATTTAAAGAAAAAATTATGGAATCTTACAAGCCTTATATAAAGGATGCACATGGTTTTAAATTTATAAGAGAAAAACAAGAAAAAATAAAAGCTGACCTAGGATTTTATGTAAAATATTTAAATAGAGAGGAGGTTACTAAATGGACGTTGATTTAATTGATAATTGTGATATACCGTATTTACTCAAATAATTACCTCACCAATATTAATTGCCCCTCCAACCATAGATCGAAACAATAATTACTCTCCCTAAAATAATTACCCCCTATTTTTTCTAAACTAATTTTTCAAACAATCATTACAATTTAATGAACATTTTAAGAATCAATATAAAAAATCGTGAGTTAAAAGTAATATTTAGTTTATCGGGGATTTGTGTGGATTAATATATATCGAGGTGCATTAGGAGGGTTTGGTAGAGATTAAGAATTTTTGAGGGAGATATCGGGCCAGTTGCAACATATTATATCTATCTTTCTATTCACATGTTTATGATAAAATAAAAATATACGAGCCGAAATAAGAATTCCCCTCGTTCTAATAATTACCCCATCTATTTCGATTATCCTCTCAAGCAAAAGATCGAAACAATAATTACCCGGGGAATTATTTGAGTAAATACTGTATGTATTCTTCATTTATTATTACACAAAATATTATTTACATATTATCTACTAAGGTTGGTGGTTCCTAGGAAACCTTCGGTTATCCGGAACCGATAACCAAACCGGAAATTTCGGTTATACTGTCTTTCTTTTTTTCCGGATAACCGGGACCACCAACCTTATAACCTATATTTATTTGTTTTTCTCTATGATTTATAAAAATATACAGAAAAAATGTAAGAAAGATATACTTTTTACTAGAGTACGTCTTGTCGGGTACTCGAACGCGCTCGACACGGACATACATACTAACTTTTAACATAAAATATGTAAATGTAATTTAGTTCTGGAATACACTGTGGTGCAAAAGTTTATATACATTTACATAAAATTTAATTAAAGCAGTATATCTCGAGAAAAATTGATGTTGCCGCAAAAACATGTTAAAGGAATTAATGTTTGTTTGTTTAGTGCGAAGTACCATTGGGTTAACTACTTAAAGGCTTTTAATCGAAACGAAATTTCGATCAGCCCTGCACAGTCAAAAAGAAGAGCAGTAGTGAATTTTGAAACGGTTCATATTAACAACCAAAACAATAACACAATCCAAAAATTTATTTTTCCACACACCGAAATAAACAATTTTAATGAGGAGCCAGCAAGGGCCAACATCAGTGAATCAGCCACAAAAGCGTTGTTTCGAAGATGAAATGGTGGAGGTAGAATGAAGAATTTGTGGGGCAGACCTACCACTTATATAGACAAAAATAACGGCGGGGTTTGGCATGAGGCCAATCAAAAATCAAATATTTGATAATGTAGAGCACAGCAAAATATTCAAATTAAAATTTATTAATTTTTTCCAAATAAAAAATTTCTTCTTTTAAAGAATTTTTCCAATACAAATTTTCCTAATAATAATTTCCAAAAAAATAATTAAAAGAATTTTTCGAAAATATTTATTTTTTCATTAAATTTAAAATACAATTTTCGAAACTGACTCAAAATTCAGCTAAAAAACTGGGCTTATAAAATGGAGGGGTCGGGACCGTGTAAAATAAAATTAAGTGGAAAAAATAAATTTTTTCCTTTAAAAAATATAAATTTTTCCCAAACAATGATTTTTTGTGCGGGCGATAAGCAAAATAATAAATTCTTTAAAAATAATTTACGTTTAAATATTTTGTTATTTTTTAAAATAAATTTGTTTCTAACTAATGGAAGCAGAAGGGACTGGTCCCGACAAAAAAATAAGGAACGAAATTAGAGAAATACAAAGATTTAAAAAATTAGCGGAGCGAGCTAAATCCAAAAAACAAAAGAAAAACAAGTTAGAGAAAAAGGGTGGCTGGAACGAACACACAAAAAAGAGGATACGATTTTGGTTTAATTTTAAAAAATGGAAGAACACACAAAATAAGTTTGGCCAATAATAACGCCCGGTTTTCCTAAACAAAATGCGAAACTAGGTTTGAAATTAAAGAGTAGACGACAAAAAATAAAGGGGTAAACGGCTAAAAATTAACAAAAGTCGTCAATATCTTTGCCTTCATTAACATTTTTATAAAAATTTTAATATTCAATTAATTATATTAACAAAAGTACATTTATAAAAACATACTAACCAAATTTAAAAAATATATTTATGCTTAAAATCCCAAATTTAAATATAAAAACTATAAATTGAATGTTCATTTTTAACTACCCATTTAAAAAGGCTTGCAGACAATGTTTTAAAATTTATATATTGCTCATACTCATACTTCGTATTAGAGTTGGAAAAACGAGATGATTTGGATGATGAAATGAATAAATTATTTTTACACTTATTTTTTGACATAAAATAAAAATTTCTGTCTCGATCAGTATCGTTTCTCGGTCTCGGCTCAAAATGATGGTATCGGTCTCGGTATCGGGTTCTTGAGTATCGGTCAATCTCGGTCTCGGGTTAGCCGATATCAGTATCGTTTTTTCCAACTCTACTTCGTATACAAGTACAAATACGAATTTTGGTACGAGTTTCAAACACTACATGCAGCCCGATATTTCCAACTCAGGCTAAAGTGTGTTAAATTATAATGCGTAGCCAATGAAATGTCAACCCTACAAAAACCAGTCAAATGCCAGAAACGACATAAGTATTAGAGTTTCACCGGAAGTTCCGGTTCCGGAAAGTTCCGGTGTTTTTTTGGTTCCGGTTCCGGGAACCGAACTGAAATTGGATCCAGTTCCTGTTCCGGCTCCGTGTTTTTCAAATGATTTTGAGATTTCAATACATCCGTGACTATAGTAAATATTTAAGAATTTAGTTTCTGATATTTTATGAAATATTTATCACAGTACGGATAATTGGTTTGTTCTCTCAAAGACGCTCTGTACACCTTTAAGCTAGAATGGGCAGGAAATGTCTGCTGCAAGTGTGATTTCGCCTTATAATCCCCCTTTCTTGTTAAATACCTAAAAATTTAAACTCATATAAAATCCTTTGTCTTCCATTTAAAGACTAATAATCTTCAATTAGAATCGCTTGAAGCTTCAATTACTTTCTCTTTTCCCTTTTTAGATTGTTCTCCTCGATCTAAAATATTTATTGATAAATAGTATATAATTAATAATTTGCTTTTAAACACAAATTTATTCACTTTTTATACCTCGTATTAATGGACCTCCTCGACCCCGAAACATTTCACGACCAGACAGTTCAATAGCCTTTTGAGTTTGTTGTTCATATTCAGCTGTTAATTTATATTATAAACTTTTATTTTTCGTGAATTATTTTATTACCATCGGTCAAAAATTGATCATGATGCCCATAGTCCTGTGATGCAGGCACAACATCTTTTTAAAATAAGTATATAATTTGAATTAGAGAGAGAGACTCTTGGTTTTTCCTGAAACCATGATTTGCTGATTTGTTCGTTTAGGTCCGCTGTAGGCTGGTTAGCATCATTAGGTTGGCGGAAGTAATTTGAATAAATAATAAAAATAACCTAGCATAGGGGGCATTATTTCTGATGATAAATTAAATATTTTTTAAAAATATCGTGAAAAGTTTGTGGGAATTGAGATGCTTTTAGGGGATTTGAGATACTTCGAGTCCGATCTCTTATTATAATTATACAAACATACCTTCATTGTAATCTTCACCAAAAAGTTCTTTATACATCTCCTCTTTTGACATATCTTCCTATTATAAATTTATGGTAAATACATATCAATATTTTCAATAAAATTTCAAAATTTTTTACTAACTACTTAATGTCTGGCTAAACCGTTTAAGGACTCACCCATACACAACACCTTCACCTTGAAAAAAGGTTCGGCTTTCACTTAACGCCGAACCTTTACAATACGCTCATAACATTTTGTAAATTAGTTTTAATTTACTCACACTTATTTCTGTATTTTTTTGTTCAGGATTGGCAAAATTAATTCCGTGTGTTAAACAATGCATTGTTAATCCAGACATATTGTCGTTTAATCTACGATTGCAATAATTACATTTTAATTTTCCCCCATGTCGTCCTTTATCTATTTTGATAAAATGTTCCAGTACAGCTTGCCTCTGAAATAAATTTTAATAATAAATATAAAATTATTTCTTTTACTGGTATTTAATGAGATTAATTATGCTAAACAATAATATAAAAATAGACAAAAATATACATCTTGTTGGTAAATATCATTATGTGAATTTTTAGTATGATCCCACGCACGATTTAAACTGAATTGTTTGGAGCAGTGTTTGCATAATACACTATTATCGCCAATATCATTGAAATGATTCCAGAATGGCGAATGTTTCTAAAAACAATAAAGTTAAAATTAGAGATCGGAATTTTGTTCCGTACCGTATTCCGTACCGTAATACCGAAAAATACCGATACCGAAAAATACCGATGAAAATCAAAATGTTGCCGTACCGTATTCCGTACCGTATTACCGACTGTAATACCGATAAATACCGAGAAATACCGACAAATACCGATGTTTTTCATCGGTACCGTATTCCGTACCGTATTTTTTTCAAAATTTTTCCGTACTGTATTCCGTACCGTACTACCGATACGGAATACCGATAAATACCGAAAAATACGGCCGTAGTACGGTACGGTCCGATCTCTAGTTAAAATATACAAAAATTCTCCACTCTATATAGTATGTATATTCCTGTGATCATGAATACCCAGCAGGGTTGCCGCCCGAAACCCGAAACCCGGCCTTTTTTTGTACCCGAAACCCGAAAGGAAAATTTTCCAACCCGAAACCCGTACCAGATATTTTTTCCGACCCGAAACCCGTGACCCGAAATTGGTTAAAACCCGAAATTTCTACCCGAAAACCTAGCTCTACCCGATTTTTAAAAATAAATTTAAAAAATTATAGAGAGAGAAAGTAGGAAAAGGGAAAGAAATATTTATAATTTCTTCCTTTTCTCATCATGTGATCGGTGGTTGAATGGGTAAAGCGACTGGCTCGATATTTTCATCGGAGTGGGGTCGAGTCCAGGGCTGGAAATGACCCTGAAAAAGTTTTTCTTTTCAAAAATAA